CATAATGAAGGACGATTGCAAAAAGACGTTAATTTTATTTTACAACCAGTCGAGTGAAGACACATAATATTAAATAAAGTAACTTAGACTGAAAAATATGTATACTAATGCGTGGATACGAGTGAAGCGTGATGAGCATAAATTCGTGCTAGACAGGGTCTCGAAAGAAGCAACCGTTATAAATTGCGCTTCAGTTCATGAAAAATTGTCACTGCGCACTTCACCCTAAGACATAAGTTGTACAGTCCCATGTGCCTGTAATTTCATCAGCACCACCCTTCAAAACCCGAAAACAGTAATGTCGACATTACTGATTGGCGGCAGAATAGGTAAGGTGGCAGTACTTCCCTGGACGAATTCTTTCAGAAGGAGCTCTACTGCTAATATACAATAAGGTAGAATTTACAACCGATAAGAAGTAAAAACAAAATATCGTTCTACCGACACTAGTTTAGGCACAGGGGTGTTCCGCCGGTGTAGGCACAGATTTACAGATCTTTCCAGCAGGTTTAGCACATTTGTATATTGATGATACATGTGAGTATCTTTTATTATACTACACCATGGAACTGGAAATGCTTTGTCAACCGACTACATGCTATTATTTATAGTGTTAGCGTAGCGTATTGGTCAAGCCTGCGCCTATAAAGACAGGTTGCATGACATAATTTTTGAGTGAAAATGTACTTACGCTAATTTTGCTGCTGGTCAGGCGATTAAGAGGTCTTTATTATTGGTAATGACTTCGCGAGAAGCAGACTACATCAGTATTTTGAAGTGGAAAAGTAGCAAGATTATGTGATAAATGAGAAATAAGCACAAGTTAAAGGAAAAGTTGGAAGTGAACTGTGAGAATGAGGATGATAATAAAGAATGTGGATGATGACGAATTTATTGGAGTGTATAAAATAGAGCAGTCAATGAGAATGAGCAAGAGTCGCCAAATTGGATTTTTATGAAAAGACGAAGATAACTAAGTAGGCAAAGGCTTACATCAGAATGGTAGAAAATGTTTTGCGAGTTTTGAAGTACGGTATGATACATGTGTGTATTACATACTATAAGTAAAATAACGTTACAAAAGTGGTAGCTTAAAATACTGGGCTACTATATAAAATGTAATTATATATAATTAAAATAATACTTTGAATAACGTATTGTCTGTTTAGTATGGTGGTTCTATTTGAAAAAGAAAGTAAATAGGAAGTACGATTATTATCATATTTTTAATTGGTGGTTTTCACCTTTCATCCTTATTATCCTCCGCCAAGTCCTCATTTAAGATAAGAACACACAATAAATATTAACGATTCGTATTGTGTTTAGCAAGTCCTTGAACTAGCTGTAAAATTTTCAATTAAATGTATTTTTGAAGAATTTCAGTAACATTATAAAGATCTATATTCAAATTTCTATAGTTATGTCAGTTATATCACAGACATTTAACTTATTAATTATTTACTGTAGAAATATGCGAGTTTTGCAGACTTGGTCGCTTTAAAAAATCGACGAAGCGAATATTTATTTTAATGTATATATTTTAAACTAAAATAAATAAAATATTAATTAAGTATATGTTGTTTACACGGTTAGTGGGTAAAATCCGTTGGTCAAAGATATCCTTTACCAGTTATTTAATAAGTATACCTAACTGACTTTTAAGTGAGGTCAAGCAATTGACGTCAATTAACATAATAATGGCATTTGATTGCAAAGTAAATCTTCAGATATGTATTATACGTACGTATGTATATTTTTACATTAACTGTCTGTTTATGTATGCGGTATTTTTAATACTGTCTATCTATCTACCTACCCTGTCATAACAAAGAACAATTGTTCTACACTGTAATTATGTATATTAAATTAAAAACACTAATACTGAACATCATTCCAGGTTGTTATATAGTGAATTCTGTGGGGAAGATGTAATTTGGGCGACACATTTAACATTTTCCTCGATAAGGTCAATTCGGAATGAAGGACAGTGTACAATGTGAAATCCTAAATTTGAAAACGTCCTTGAACTTTAGGAATTGAAACTCATAAGTTTCAAATTATATCACTGTGATTGTCAGATGTTTTAGGTACGCTTTGCTAGCTTTTACAAACTATTCAGATATGGTAGAAACAGCTCTTTCGGTTTTATTAGACTATTTCTCAGAGTATATGTATATGTATTTTTACAAAAAAAAAGGGTGTGCCCCGAAATAGTAAACAAAAATACTATGTTGTTATTCTGTGATACAAAAATAATTAGAAAAATTTCAAAGAAAAACACGTTAGTTTTTAATACTACGAAGAACGAAAAGTGCAATCTTATTATTTATACATTTCATTAATTATTTGAACTTTTTCATAAGAATGTTTTTTACTCTTCATACAAAAATAAAATTGCCTCCCCCTTACCTCAAGTGTCACGCTAATTAGGTGCATGTTTTTGTATTACAGACCATGATTGATTTATTCTTTTTTATTTGCTTTTTGCCATACCTACCCATTAAAAAACACGTATAAAAAAGAGTGACTAAATGAATTATATTTTGCCAATGTGTAATAAAGCTTAATGTTCAAATTTTTTGTAATTTTTCGCCTTTTTGTTACATACAATTATTTTGAGAAATAGTCATTATTTAATTTTAATGAGTGTCACGAGGTCAATTTAATACTAAGGGTCGTATTCTAGAACTCTACTCAATGCTCAAGTTTGAGTATGGTTTAAAGCACTTGAATAATACTCAAGTCCCTGCCATTAGGGTCGTATTTCCAGTGCTTGTGTTGCCAGTGCAATCCTGACTTGAGCATTGAATAGAGTTCTAGAATACGACCCTAAGATATGCATGTACATTCACGTCATTTAATTATCATTCTAATGTTAGTTATATTGTTAGTAGTTTATCTATTTAGACATTGCGTAATACATATTTTCGCACAGAAAACATAAATTATATCTATTGTTTAAATTTTTTTAGTTCATGTACGAACTCCTGTGGATTTAGTTCACATTTTTAACAATCTTGTAGTATGGTTCATTTTCACAATTAAGCTTACAGTTTATATTTGAAACGACGCGATGTTGGGCAACTTAGAAAACTAATTGTGTTCCCATGGCGTTCACTGATAACACGAAATTCATGTCGATACTAGCGCCACGATTTCATGGTCCAATATTGTTCTGCCGTTAGTGTGTTATCATCTCATTATCATTATATTAAATATTTTCAAATCATAGTAGATGTTTACAACAATGATTTACCTTATCGGCTAAAATACTATCGAATTTTATATTATAAAGCGTAATTTCAGTCTAATAACAATACACAGTAAATTCTAAATCAGTAAGGTACAATAATTTAAGAAATTTTCTTATTCATAACAATTAGTACGGCATCACTATTTCATCGCCTCACAGTTCATCTTATAGTCGTTTTTCTTCATATCTTAATGAAGTCTTGTTCATTTATTAATGATAATATATTAACATGAACTGAAGTTAAAATAAGAGGACTGTGAACGTCGATATTAGAGAGCAATAGGTATTTTGAGAGATATTTATCATCTCGGCAGCGCTATTCCTCTGGGCACACGTATACAATACATACAATCTGCGTTATTGCATTGCAAGAAGCGAACCGGGAGGCGGAGCGTCAAGTGGCATGAAATGTATGTATATTTTATTAAGTGACAAGTATCATTTAACTCGCAAAGCCATGAATTCCTTTCTTCCTAGTATTGTAGTTATTTTACTATTTTGTGTTTATACGGTTTTATATTGTTTTATTCTTCTAATTTGAAACCCCGAACAGTGGGCTAAGTAGATTAGCTGCAGGGATGAACTCGTTCGTCTGCTCCGGTAACGTGGCCGGGGTATTGTAACCCCGCGCGGAGCTAGCGCGTCTTAGTAGCGGTTTGGACGAGAGCCAAATGCGAAAAGATGCGCGGGACCCGTGAGTTGCTTTTTAAGTTGGACGCTATGTCCGGCTTTCGCATGACATTGCGACTGACATCTCCGGTACTAGTATGGACTAGTAGAAGATATCGTATATGTCCACCGGGCCTTCCAGCCGGGAATTTTGGAATTGGAAAGACGCTTCGGCTGGAGGTGGACGTGCCGACAGCACCGCTACTAAAGTGGAAATTTGGTAGTTCATGTTAGAGCTTTAAGGGTTTAACAGTGGCTAGTGAGTCAAGAACTCCAGTACGTAACTGGACGATATGGAGGGTGCTGTATGTGCACCCGGGGGCGCTTATCCAAGACATTAAGCCTTACGAGAAACGGATGAAGTTGTGTGTCTACATGCTGATCTGAGGTCCAGGCCTGCCTGACTGATAAGGTTCCTGTACAAGCTTGTTTGCAACTGTTTTTGTTTGTTTGGGACTAACCTATAAACCAACTTTCGTTATATGAGCCGAATCCTGGCACATGAATACTTGTTTCGAGTTCTTTTCCGTCATATGTGCATGAGCGCGTGGCACTAACATACTTAAATACAAGAGTCGCCTTCGGTCAATTATTGTTTCGCACCCCTCGTGGAAGAATGGCATAAGAGGTGTTACGTCAAACATTTTTATTGCTCTATTAGATACAGAAAAATGGGGAAAAGAGCAATATACATGTCAGACGTAACTCCACTTATGCCATTCTTCCATGAGGGGTGCGGTTTGTTAATTTGGGTCCGCATTTCCATTTGTTTTAATTTGTCACTAACAGCTAACGACCATAAAGTGTACGTGTATATAAACATGTCTAAGACGACAATGGCATGTCATGATTTGTACAATTTTAAATACAAGGTTTCAATAAGTTTTTCATTTGATAAGTATCGCGCCAGATAGAATCAATAACCAAAACTTATGTTACTACAAAGTAGTATTTATCTACGTACATACACATCACACTTTGTTGACAAAAAATATATTATTCCTAAACATTTAAGATGAGTCTGAATAAAACGCATCAGGCCAAATATTAAATACAATATTCGATTACTAAGGACAAATTAATAAAATATTTAAATAATGTCGTAAATTCGAAAGGTTTGAAAGCGTAGTCAAAATATTTAACAAATTCATAAAAAAAATTATACACTTAGAAATTACCATAGCTTTTATAAAACGACTAAAGATCTTTGGCTCAGTGCGTGCATTTAATAGCCAATGACATTGAAATGGTGAGATAAGTAAAATAAAACAAAACATTACCTAAAGTCCATACCTAGATCAGACCTGTTAGCACCAATACAATTCCCGATATAAGCACGCGCTGGTCAGCTGCCGTAGTGGTACTACAAATTCGTTTCAGCCGTACTACTTGCCTCTCAGTCGATTCATGTACTTTAATCGATGATTGATATCTGTGCGAACCCTATTAGTGATTTGTCGTCGAATTCTTCGTTAGCAAGTGTAGCAGAGTTCTGGAAAGGAGAATCATAATTTATATTAAACATGTTGTCTTATAAAAACAAGTCTATAACTCTAAACAAATTAAATCGTCAATGTAAATATAATAATTAATAATGTTATAAATGAAAAGAAACTCGTGTCTTACAAATAAACTTACTTATCCGAAAACCCAATCTCGCTTTTCGATGACAACACAATGTTGCAAGTTTTTTTAACATAAAGTCTATGGGTTTAAACGTTTTTTAAACGATTTTCTAATCTTCGAATTAAAAACAGTTTAACTGAAAAGTCTTTTTATAAGCTGGCTTATATAAATACGTTTTAGCGTTTAACATTTATAAGCAGTTTTCTCCATCACTAGCCACAACCATCGCATTGTATGTGGGTAAAGAAAGTAAGTATCCATGATTATTTGGAAAATATTCACAGTGAATTCCCTCGCTTTGTGGCGTCGGTTTATAATGGAACATGACTAACAGTATCATATAAGTGCTCATCTGCATTTTATTTCTAAGTGGCCTGCTTACCAAGAGGAATGTAATAGTTTTGGGCGTTGAGGCGGTAATGAATTGGTTGTCCAGTAATTTGGTCAGGTTCATGGATATGGGTACAGAGTCATGGGGGTCAACTAATCCAGCTCCCACAAGCTCAGTGGCAATGCCTTCAGCAGTGTCCTTGCCTGTGATGAACTCAAACCTTATGTCGTTGAGCTCGCGACGAGCGTTCCTGGATGCAAATATGATTTATTTTAGGGCTTAAAAAATATGAGTTAAAAAATTCACATAACCGCACACGGCTAGTGCAGCATTAACACATATTTCTTAAATACTGACCTTAATCGTAGTACAAGATTAATTACGTCAGATTTCTTAGGTTTCGGTTTATTATCATCTGAATCCGCCCCACCCATCTGGAACAATATTTGCTTAGTTAGTACTAGATTTATTATCCTTAAAGAATAAAAAATTAGAACATTAGGTGTTCATAGGATTATTAGAAGTTGCAAGGTTTGCATTGTATGCAAAAACTTACATCTTCACCCTCGCTGCCGCTAGAATCGGCTCGTTGGAGGTGGTTCATGGGGCGATCGTCTTCTTCGCGTAGGGTCTCGTCTTCGAAGGTCAAACGATTCACGCCGCCTTCCTCTTCTTCCTCGCTCCACACCCACTCCCCAGTCACGGTGCGATGCAGCCGACCCGATGTCCCAGGCCGCCTCTTACTTGCCTGAAAATCATTAACAATTCAACGTTTTGATTTATTTGCCATGTAGCGTAAATAATCTAGTATTAGGTTGTACGCGTTTGTGCCGTAGTAGCCATGAGCAAAATAACATACTTATATACTTCATTTTCAACTACCCGGCCTTCATTACCTGTGATAATATTTTCTAAAATATTGGAGGCCACACATTCTAGCAAAAGATTTAAATGTTAATAGTAAAATTACTGAACTAGTAGTTAGTAGTAGTGTCAGCTCACCTTATGCACCCTAGCCTCCATGCTAGGTCCTATAGCGACTAGAGTTTGCGTTAAATACTTTCGGTCCTTCGCCTTTTTGAAGAAAGGGTGCTTTAATAGTTCAGTGGCAGTTGGCCTTTTAGTAAGATCTTTTTGTAAGCAGTCTACTATCATTTTTCTAAAGGTTTTCCCATAAGCTTTATACTGATCTTTTTCATCAGCACCTGATGATAAAAAAATTAAATGGTTAACTACAATATTCAAAACTTCATAAATCTATTTGTCTTAAAAACAGTCATTAATATTTGGTAAAAGTAGCATAAAAATCAAATGAGTATGTTGTGAGTCAGCATGAAAGAACCTGCAATTTATAAGGTCCCCGTGAATACTGAAATCGATAATAATAATAATAATAATAATCGATAATCGATGATACCTGTATCTAGATTGGGAGGGTCGTTCTGCAAAGTAAGCATAAGCACTTTCATTGGCGGATACTTATGATATGGCGCCGTGCCGGTGGCCATTTCTATCGCTGTGATCCCGAAGGACCAAATGTCGGCTTTGAAATCGTAGCCGTGATCCTGAAAAACGACAATCGCGTGGTACAATTTTACCAATACAGGCAGCACGACAATAACCTTTTCTATTAATGCAATAACAAAGGCTGACGCTTAATAATAATCAGTAAATGTTGGATTTCATTCTTTTTTGCATTGGACATTTATCAAAAATAGTATAGGGACGATCGCAACACTTGCGAGAACTTCCTTCCTTCCTCTATACACCTACAACATGCGCACTTTGCTGCTGCCGTCTCTCTCACCGGCCAATAGCCAGCCTATGAGTTGGCAACAAAAAAAGACGATAGTCTAATTATGACACTAAACTGTGTGCATTAAAAATGGCTAACTATAGTCATTGTCTTCTAATAGTTTATATTTTCGCAATATGACTGTGCTCAGTAGTGAACCTGAGGTATTTTCTCCTGGGGCGGCCATATTCAGGCAGAATTGCTGCAGGTGTCCAACTTCCGAAGTTGAATAAAATGAGTGTGCATTATTTTTGCTGTTCTTCGACCTACAAATATTTGTTCCAGTCTTAACAGGAAGCTACTTGCAAATGCAGTTAGTAGAAGTAATTGTTAATGTAATTCATTACAGTAATTCTCATGTATATATATGTTCATTTCGCTTCACCAATTGTTGACAATTGCAAACTAGGTTCGAAACTTTTGTATGTGCATCCTTTGTTCATGTAAAAGGTGTTAAGTTTTTTTGTTTACAATTGTTATACTACATGAGACATGAAAGTGTAGATATAAGTTGATTTGGAACTTTACCTGTTCCATAACCTCTGGGGCCATCCAGCAAGGTGTCCCAACAAAAGTGTGTCTGACTTTCTGCCTAGACATGTCCCTTCCCGTAGCTAGCCACGCTGAAACGCCAAAATCAGCTATTTGAACAGATCCGTCCTCACCTAGCAGTATATTGCCAGCCTTTATGTCCCTGTAAATTCATTACACTCAGAACTAAGTCATCAATAGACTGCGTGCATCAAATGCATGACTTCTTATTAGGTGAATTGAAGTCTTCAATAAGTGTCAAATGAGTCTTACAGTTTATTAAGTGCATCAATTGTCAATAAGAGGGCGCACGGGTGTTATGCAATCAGAAATGACTTCCTGTGTTTTCATATTAACATGATAACAGGTAATTCAATCGCCGCCGCTGTTTAACATCGCAATTGCAGATGCTCAGCATAGTTTTGAAGATAATTTGAAAAGGACTATTGTCACTTACTGAAGTCAATGTTTTGCACACAATAGTGTGAAGTCTTATTGCCAAAACATAGGTTGATTATAGCACAGCTTTCGCTTTCGCATACTTCGCGTAGTACGAGATAATGATTGTTAAATAATTTTTTGCTACGCAAAACATTTAGAATGACAAAGTGACGTTATTAGAAGATTTAATGACAGTCGCTTTTATTTGCACTTAACATCTTTAAATAATAGCGATGCTTTGAGTAGAGCAGCTAACCTAATTACCATTATTTTTATTTTATGCCAATCTATGGGTATTTTTCGAGTATTTTTCGGGAGCTTTAGGTAAACACTTCATAGTGAATTTATTTCGCAATGCATACAAAATAAAACTACAAAATGGATTGATTTTATGAATATCTACATGTACCTTTGCAATATGATGAAAACATTTCAATACTAGTAAACTTGTTAACCTGCAATCGACGCGGGTAACCAAGAACAACGGATGACAAAACAATGGTTACATGCAGACAAATGATCATTACCATAAGGGTTCCACTTTTACAATTTTGGTCTAAATTATGAACACAATGGCCCTGTAGTATAAGGCAAAAATTCTATATGTAAATATAGCTTATACCACCATCATCAAAACATTTATACATCCCACTGCTGGCCACGGGTTTTCTGTCAGGCGAGACATAGTTTGCCACGCCGGTCCAGTGTGGGTTGTGTACTTCACACATATTCTGAGGGTTGTGAACCTACTTCAACATGTTGGTTTCATCACAATATTTTCCTCTACACCAAAAAGCTTATGGTGAATTTCAAATTCGATTTCGCACATAAATTGTGAGAAACTCAGGTTTAAAAAATTTACTTAACAAAGACAAACAATTATTACCTGTGTATCTGTCCATTGTTGTGAAAATATTCTAGCCCCTTTAGGACTTCTTTTAGCACGGTAGCAATGGTTGCCTCGTCAAACACACCATGTTTACAATTTGCCACCTTCATCTTATGTTTTATCACATCTAACAGACTTCCACCTGAAATGAGTAATAATTTCAATATGCTTTTTGAAATAGTAATTTTTTTAGTGTGGCCATTTTTAACATCACATTGCAGAGAAAGTTTTCAACAAAACTTTCTATACATAAATCTACTGCTGCCTCCAACTAGTCCTCCGGATATGCAAATGACTATCAATCTGGGTTTGTTATTTACAAACATCTATTTCTTACAGACATCTAAACAAAGCATGGTATATAATTTAGGGCCACAAAATTTATGCAATTAAACATTATAAAATTACACTATGTGTAGACTAATACTATTATATAAGGAACTCTACAACATAAATAACAAGTTACTTATCAAATATGGAAATACAGAAGACAGTTACCTTCAAGCAGCCTCATAACCAGCCACAATTCATCTTGAACTACAAAACTGGTGTAGTAAGTGACAACATTCTCATGATTGCAACTTGACATAGCCTGTGACAATATTATTCTGTTATTTTCAAAGAAAAGATGATAAAAATAAATCTAAATATTATACACAAATAAGTAGGTATTATTATGTACAAAAAATAAAATTGTTGAACAAACAACACTAAAACTAAACCAAAATTACCTGAATTTCCTTTAACAGCTCTTCCATAGAGGTGTTCCATTTCTCCAAGTTGATTCTTTTAATAGCACATTTTTCATTCCTTGGCATGCAAAAGGCGCCATATACCACTGCAGTTGCTCCTACCCCTGAAGTAGTATATAGTACAATGAAAATCATATTGATACAGAAAGTAATAAAACTATGTGTTGTTTATTTTAATAATTTAAATGAAAAAGATGGTAGACAACTGGTTTTAAATAGTTTATATGTTAAAGGTTGGTGCAGGTAAAAAAATATTGATGTTTCACCAAGTTAGTAATTTAACTGTAAAATAAGTTCTCAAATGCCAACATGCAGATGACCATCCTCGATTTCTAGTTTTATGAGCAACGTGTTAGTGTACTAACAGTTAAATAACGGGAAACTAGTGTTAATATTAATATATCACTGGTTTAATATTCTCTCATTAACCCCATTAAATGTTTCACGACAAGAAATAGGTATATAAATTGTTATTAAACAGGACAGCCAAACTTATGTTATACTTTTAAGCGTGGCCCCATAAGACAAATTCAGTAAATTCATACGTAGTATCTCATGTTTGTAGCAAATTCAATCAAATTGTGAACACAATACATTTTGACAGGTTGATGTTAGATGCCGGATAGAATGGTTATTTTTTGTGACTATATAGCACGAAAGATAAAATAACCATTAGAGAATGAAGGAGTGATTACCTATTAGAAATTATATTAATGTACATACCAATAACGTCCCGTAATTCGTACTCATCTTGACTATTTGGCCATGAGCACGACGACGATGCATTTACCGAGGCAGCCATTTTGCGAGTGAATAAATTTCCGATACCTTGAGCCGCGGAGCCTATCGACTCACGAGCTGCCTGAGCGTATGACGACAACGCTGTTATTTGATCACATGCTCCAAATGATTTCTAAAAATAAACAAGGAAATAAATACAGCTAAATCGACCATTTTTCAATAAATTGAGTTTAAACAATAACTTTTTGATACTAGTGCCATCTGTTTTAGATAAATATATATTAAGTGACGTCATATCCTGACCGGCAAAATGAAATAATTACGATTGCATTATATTTCCTTCCGGTACTTGAAAAATAATCAACGAAAAAAGTGGTCCCTGAATATAATTATTACTACTTTATTGTAGTTACAAAAGCCACATTAATATAAAAGCTTTATTTTTAATTTACTGCAGACCAAAAAGGTTAACTTTTATGAAATTTAAAGGAAATTAGAAATATAATATATAATATTATTATATTTTTACAGATTTTTCATTAAAGAAAATACACGATTCCTAGCTGATGGTATGGAGAGAAACCATCTTTATACGCTAGTACAAACCTATATAAATATCGTTGTCATCTTTCGTCTTGAAATGTTTTTGTAATTCAATGGCCTCTGGCAGCATCCTGGATAGGATTTCCGAACGGACTTCCGTTGTAAGGATGTGGCGTTTATCAATCTTAATTGAAAGGGTAGGTTTATCCGTGATATATTTGCAGACTGCAGACTTTTTTATGCGACGGTGCTTGACGTCAGCTTTAAGTATTGAGAAGGTGGCAGCTTAGAACAAATGCGTTTTTACGCAGTCAGTTAGACCATTCATAATAAGCACGATCAAAAAGTTTATAATACTGTCAGAATTTCTTCTTCTTCTTTTTCTTTCTTCAGAAATTCTTGTGAAAGAACTCAAAAGTTCAAAGCTGCCCCACACCCGCCAGGATAACATTTAAATGACGATTTGAAATAAAAATTATTTATTGCAAAATATCCTTACAACTATTTTTGAGAATGTTTACTTATCGACGCTGAAACTAAACACGACCTCTCATTCAATTTCGACGCGGGCACGCTAACCGTTGCCATTGACAGGTGTGTGTGGGGCTCGATGGTGCTTATAAAATAAAATAAACTTATCGAGTTCTTAGGTTTTCGCGATTGTAGGAAATGAAACTATTTTTCCGGATTTAAATCGCGTATATTTGTTTTCCGTCAAACTGACGTTTCGGGCCCTTTACAGGTCCTATGGTCACGGTTGACTGAGGTGGTACAGTATATATATATATATATATATACTGTACCATCATCATATATGTATATATATTATATATATTATAAACTGTATATATTATAAAAGCTTTTTGATGACGGAT